ATAACACTTTCGCAGGATTGTTAATACTTTTTTTTATATGTACTATACCTACTCCCCTTAACTTATTTTTTTTCCATTAAGTTTTAATCTCCCTTACCCATTACCTATTGTTTTTTTTTTTTTTTATTGAAATTATAACGTGACAGATATCAGTTTATTTTCCTATCTTGAAGGCTTGAAGTCGGACGGAAAGGAGAATATTTTTGGTTGTATATGAAAAAATATGAAATGCAAGATTAGAAAGTGTTTAGGAACCCACTCGACACCCCATATTGAAATCAAATTTGTTTTTCTGTACAAAAACTTGACTACAAATTCATTCAAAAGAAATTTTGAAGGAATGGAAACTATCGATATTGTAAAAATGTTACTTGTTTTATTTGTAGTTTAAAATAATTTTTTATTTACAGGAACGAAGAAGATGGAATACAAGACCAGACAATGGCACGAGAAATGTTTCTGTTGTGTTGTTTGCAAAACTCCCATCGGTACTCAAAGTTTCATCCCCCGTGAACAGGAAATCTACTGCGCAAAGTGTTACGAAGAAAAGTACGCGACTCGTTGTGTAAAGTGCAACAAGGTTAGTCCTTTTCTGTATTATTATTTTTACTTTATTAATTTCGTCAACTAATGTACCATTAATGTTGATTTTATTGCCACCCAACGAAAATTAATGAAAATTTATATGCACACGAGTACAACTGAACATGGTAAAATATTTTCAGTGTACTTATCGTTTATACGTATTGTAAGTAAAATCATGGTTTTCAGTTCTAGCTTATTTAGATAAGAAAAGAGAAATCGTGATGCTTAAAGCAGAACATACATTTTATGATCGTAAGATTTCTCCTGTATGTTGTGTGGAAGTAATAGGAAAACGCTATTCTAATATCATAAATGGTTTTATTTCCTAACAATGTTATTCTTAATTACTTTCACAATTAGTTTGTTATATTATTAGCAACCATCGCAAGTCGTAGAGAAGTAGAGATTAAATTAAAAACTTTTTTAAATACTATGGGACATATACCTTAAATTATTTTTAGTGCAACTTTTCTGAAATTGCATGATAAACCAATACCAAAAAAAAAACAAAAAGAAAAGGTTCACTGATTTTAATTGTCTTGATAAATTTGCATACGTTTAACTTTTAATAAAGTGTAAAAAGTTTTGGGTGTTTCGCCGTACCATGTTGGATAAAAGGGCCTGTGGTAAGGGTCTTAAATATATCTTTTTTATAGTTTTAAAATAAATAGTTTTAAAGTTGTTTAAAAAAAATTAACCTTTCCCCTCCCCTTATCTCCGAAACTACTGAACCTAAAATTTTTAAAAAAATANAATTAATAAGAAGTCCATGGTGTGGACATAATGTGATAAATCATTCAACAAGATAATGTTGTGCATACAAATTTTTATTTGCAGCTTGAATGTATGGAAAAAGATTTTTTTTCAACTACAATGTTAAGTTAGTTATCGGGTTAGGATTCCGTACTTCCGAATGAAAAAGGGAACCCTTATAGGGTGCGTGTGTCTGTCCGTTTTTTGGCAATCATGGGGATAGAAGGGTGGTGGTTGGAGTGAGAAAGATGTGTCAGCAGAGATGAATACAGAAAAGAAGTGAAATCTATGGAAAATTATTATTGCTCCAGCATTTACCTAAATGATCTAAGGAAATCACATAAAAGGGGAGAAAAGGAAAGATGGACATAGAATCGAATCGTGTCCTTTCAAATGCTTAGTAATACCTTAAACGTCTAAGCCATGCCGCTAGTTACTAAAACTACTTGGTACTACTGTATTTTTACAATTCTATGTAAAAGTAGAGGGAGGGTTGATATTATATAAATAGTATCCGTCCGCCTTGGTCTAAGTTCTTCTGTGGTTTCCTTGGATCACTTAGGCAAATGCTGGGGTAGTAATACTTCACAGATAATCTTTCACTCCCTTCTGTCTTCATTTCGTCCGTCTCATTTTTCTAACACCAACCACCACCCACCATTTCCGCTATTCCTAAAAGGAAGCTAAAGAAGGTCTTCCGCCTTACCTTCCAGTGTAGTCCGGTGGAACTGCCCTCCCACCAGCATTAGTAGCTAGCACCCAAAACTTAAAAGTTTTAAGTCTTACACTTAAGTAATATGTACTATGAAACAAATTTGTTGAAACGATTACAATCAGTGAAACTTCCCTTTTTGTAGCTTTTGTATTACTTTGTTTGGTGAAGTTTCTAAAAAAATACATTTCATGTCCATTATGATACTGGGGCCCTTAATGCCTTCATATTGTATTAATCGTTTGTATCGTTTCAGGTAATTACCAGCGGTGGTGTGACATACAAGAACGAACCATGGCATAGGGAATGTTTCACATGCACCAACTGCAATACGAGTCTAGCAGGTGCCCGATTCACCAGTCGCGACGACAAGCCCTATTGTGCCGACTGTTTCGGCGAACTCTTCGCCAAACGGTGCACCGCCTGCAGCAAGCCCATCACCGGTATCGGTGGTACTAAATTCATCTCCTTCGAGGACCGACATTGGCACAACGATTGCTTCTTCTGCGCCTCGTGTCGCACCAGCTTGGTCGGACGGGGTTTCATCACCGACGGTGACGACATCATCTGTCCCGATTGCGCCAAACAAAAACTCATGTAAAAACGAGAAAGCAAAATGAAAATCGCACCGACTACAACGAGGGAGATGAATGAGGACGGTTGTGCGTTGTTTGCTGTTGGCTCTCTTTTCTTTTTTTTTTTTGTTTAATATGGAAATTGTTGTATTTAATTTTTGTTTATTTTAATCTCATTAGATTCGTTGCCTGTGTTGAGTGGGAGAGAAAGAGAGAGAGAGAGCGTCGAAGGATGATGTGTGGTAAACGGATGAAGAAACGCACACACTTAACAAACACTACTACTACACTTAAACTACTACACAACAACACCTACTGGTGAATAACACTTTCGCAGGATTGTTAATACTTTTTTTTATTTTCTTTTTGATTTATTTTCGATTATTAATTTCAGTTGTTATAAAAACCATCAAAAATCCGTCCAAAAGTTTGTAATTTCGGGGACAGGAAATAATACTCACTAAATATTAGATTTTAAAAATTGTATCGATTAGGATTCTTTTAATGTCTTAATCATTTACAAGCAATCCTGCGTATCTTACTCCTTAGCCGCATAAAATTTTAGAAAAATCGATTTATTTGCCTGTTATCGTATTGTATGCTTAAAAAAATCTAACACGTACACATACACAACACTAATAGTAAATATTACAAAAATTATTCATTTACACATATACACAAAAGCAAACTCTATCACGACATTTGAATAGTTA